TCCCAGCCTCTGAGGGCTGAGTGTGCTTGTGTAGCTCGCAGAGGGGCTCCACCCTCTTAGGTCATGCAAGGGTACCTGTATTCCGAGGCTGCTGCCTGCCCAGTGGCCCTCCTCTGGCACAGCCCATGAGGTTTCCTTGGCCACCTGCTGTGAGGCCAAGCCCATGTGTGCCTGTCTCCAGGGTGCCTCAGCCCTCTTTGACATGATTGAGTACTACGAGTCGGCCACCCACCTCAACATCTCTTTCAACAAGCACATTGGCACCCGGGGCTGGCAGGCTGCTGCCCACATGATGCGCAAGGTGGGTGCCTCCCAGGCTGGTGGACAACGCTGTGGGGAGGGTCCTACCTCAGGCCCATCTCTCCTGCCCTCCTACAAGGCAATGTGTCCTCCTTACTCCTCCCTAGCATGCATGATCCTTGTACAGTGGCCTTGGCACCGGCCCCGGTTTACTCATCAGACCTCATAACAGGGGTCAGGCCTCAGGGCATAAACCCAGGTGTATGTTTATGTTTATGTATGTAGGTGCTGGCCTGACTGCCAAGTGGCCACCCATTCCTTGCCCTGTCCCCACAGACCAGCTGCCTACAGTACCTAGATGCCCGCAACACACCCCTGCTGGACCACTCGGCGCCCTTTGTGGCCCGTGCCCTGCGCATCCGAAGCAGCCTGACAGTGCTGCACCTAGAAAATGCCAGCCTGTCTGGGCGGCCCCTCATGCTGCTGGGTAAGTGTATGTGCATGCGGCCTGCTGCCGGCCAGGTGAGCCATGATGCGAGCTGGCCATTACTCCCCCCGCCCCCAGCCACAGCCCTGAAGATGAACATGAACCTTCGGGAGCTCTACTTGGCGGACAACAAGCTCAACGGCTTGCAGGACTCCGCCCAGCTAGGCAACCTGCTCAAGTTCAACTGCTCCCTACAGATCCTCGACCTGCGCAACAACCACGTGCTGGACTCAGGTGCGCGCCCCCCGGGGCCGTCCACGCCCCGTGCTGGGGGGCCGGAGGGGCTGGACACGAGTGTACTGTCTCCCACGCTTACAGCTGGTGGGGCCCGATGGCAGTGACAGCCCTGACAGGAGCCCACGCAGGACAGGGTCAGAGGTCAGGCCAGAGCAGAGGTGCTCACACTGACCACCCACCTCCCCTAGGTCTCGCCTACATCTGTGAGGGTCTCAAGGAGCAGAGGAAGGGTCTCGTGACCCTGGTGCTGTGGAACAACCAGCTCACACACACAGGCATGGCCTTCTTGGGCATGGCGCTGGTGAGTCCAGGGGCCTTGTTCATTGGACCCATTCTGGCTCCAACATGTTTAATTTTTTATTACATTTATTTATTTGTGTGTGTATGTGTACGTGCTCACATACGGAGGTCAGAGGACAGCTTGTAGGAATCAGTTTTCGCCTCCCACCATGTATAAATATTTCAGGTATCAGGGCTGGAGAGGTGGCTCAGTGGTTAAGAACACTGTCTGCTCTTACAAAGGACCTGGGTTCAGTTACCAGCACCCACATGGCAGCTCACAACTGTCTGTAACTCCTATTCCAAGGGATCTGACACCTTCACACTAATGCACATAAAATAAAGTTAGTTAATTAATCAATTAATTAAATTAATTAAAATATTAGGAAAAAACTTTTAAAAAAATCAGGCATCAAATTTTGCTATCTAGCCAGCCTTGGGCCCTATTTCTTTTACTCTTTCTTTTTCTTTTTGTTCTTTTTATTCTTTTGGTTTTGTTTTGCTTTGAGTCACAGTTTCTCTGTGTAGCCCTGGCTATCCTGGAACTCTCTGTAGACCAGGCGGTCCTTGAACTCTGACATCTACCTGCTTCTGCTCCCAAGTGCTGGGACTAGAGGTGTGCACCACCACTGCCCAGTTGGACCCCATTTCTTTAATTTCCTTTTTGTAATGGACTATGTAGGACAGTGCTTTGCACAAACTGAATATGTTAGCCTAAAAAGTTAATATTTCTGTAATCAGTGAGGTTTTAGTCATTTTGTTATTACATAATATACATAAAGTAATTCCAGCCGGCACAAACACTCTTGGGGGAGGGAGACGCTTGTGTGCCCAGTGCCCAGCCTCTGACAAGAAGGCTGTCTTCAAAGCCATTCCCAGATGGGCCCTGGTGAGGCAGGGAGCCAAGCTGTGGGTGTGGGGCCACCTGGACTCTGGTGGGGAGTGGGCATTGGGGGAGACTCAGCATGGGAAGCATTGGAGTTTCCGGGGCCTGTGATGGCATTGTGCTGAGAGGCGAAAGTGAGGAAAAAGGACACATTTCCTGACATACCTTTCTGGCCTTTTCTCCACCGATGGTTCCTCCTCGTCACCATCCCTGCCCCTTCCAGCCGCACACACAGAGTCTGGAGACACTGAACCTGGGCCACAACCCCATTGGGAATGAGGGTGTGCGCAACCTCAAGAATGGGCTCATCAGCAACCGGAGTGTGCTGCGCCTGGGCCTGGCCTCAACCAAGCTCACGTGCGAGGGTAGGATGCGGGCCAGGCGTGCAGGGGCCAGCGGGGCTCAGCAGGGCGGCCGGCCAGTGGCCAGGCATGGGGCCCTTGGCCAGCCCCTGCGGTCCCCCTCCCAGGCGCGGTGGCCGTGGCAGAGTTCATCGCCGAGAGCCCCCGCCTCCTGAGACTGGACCTCCGGGAGAACGAGATCAAGACAGGCGGGCTCATGGCACTGTCCTTGGCCCTCAAGGTGAACCACTCCCTGCTCCGCCTGGACCTGGACCGAGAGCCCAAAAAGGAGGCGGTGAGGGTGCTTGCTTTGTATCAGTGCTGTCCTGGGCCAGGGTGGGCCGGGTGGGCCGGGTGGGCAGAGGCCACACAGAGCCCTAGCCAGACCGGGTCCCACAGGTGAAGAGCTTCATTGAGACGCAGAAGGCACTGCTGGCCGAGATCCAGAACGGCTGCAAGCGCAACTTCGTGCTGGTGCGAGAGCGAGAGGAGAAGCTGCAGCTGTCGGCCTCCATGCCAGAGATTACCATCACCGCGCCCCAGCCCCTGGAAGAGCCTGGGGACCTGCCAGCCATGGGGGCACAAAATGGGGGCCCAAGCCCTGGGCCTGGCCCTGACTCAGACTCGGACTCAGATTCCGATGGGGAGGAGCAGGAGGAAGAGGAAGAGGACCAACAGGACCAGCAGAAGGATGGGGGTGGCGCTGACCAGAGTCCCTCAGCCCCCTGCCCTGCCCTGGTACCCTCCATGGACTCCCTAGGCCCTGGGGACAAGAGCCCCCCAGGCAGCCCCTCCTCCCCCACTGAGCAGCGTATTTCTGTCTCCAGCCCAGGCCGAGGCCACAAGGTGTTTGTGGTGACCAGGGTGGAGAGTCCACCTGAGAGGCCAGAGCCTCCCATTCCTCCCACCTTTGTCTCCTCTCCTTCACCCTCTCCTCCCTCTCCCCCTGCCTCTCCACCATCTCAGACCATGGACATCCAGGACCCAGAATCATCAGAGGCTCAGCCCCAGCCGGAGCCATCTCAGGCAGGGCAGCCACTGCCCAATGGCCTGAAGCCTGAGTTTGCCCTCGCACTGCCCCCAGAGCCATCCCCAGGGCTGGAGGCTAAGGGGGGCAGCTGCAGCCTGGAGCACGGTAAGAAGAGGGAGAGGCAGGGGAGAGGCTCCCCAGAAAGCCCTATATCTGTGGGTGGGCTCCAGCCTTGCGCTCTCGAGGATGGCCCGTAAAGGGATAGGAAAGAGGATTTGGTCTTGGGGTCTCACCCTGGGCCCCAGATTTGCCCCTGGGGTGGGGACTGTGGTCTGGAGGGACAAGGCCGTGCCCCCACCTGCCTCTAAGGGAGTTGCCCCCTACTGCCTACAGCACTGCACCGCTCCCAGGGTGCCAGCAAGCTGGAGGAACTCCTTCTAGAGGCCAGTCAGGAGGCCCCGCGGGACACACTGTGACACTAAGTAGGTGCTGGCTGTGGGGACTGGGGACAGAGCTGGGTGGCCTGCTCTGACCACCCTCCACCTCTGCTCTCCTAGTTCTTTTGTTCCGGCCAGTCTGATGAGCTGAAGCTATCCCCAAGGATCTGCTGACTCCTGCCTAGTCCCCCAGGGAGCCAGGCGAGGTGTCCCAGACCTCACTACAGCAACACTAGGGGCACGGGGCTGGGAGCAGCTTTCCGGACTTGTCTGCCGCTCCCCAGGTTGGGGCTGGGGAGGACCAGAGGAAGAGGATGCGAGGAGCTTTCCAGGGTCACCGGCCACAAGGCTGCTCTGGTCCTGGAGGGTCCAGTGGCCAGCCTGCCCTGGGAGGGATAGGAGTCAGGGCAGATACAAAATGGCCCTCTGGTCCCTCTCAGGACCTGGCTGGTGAGCATGGTGGTGGAGTTTGCCAGTGCGTGTTGGGTGGGGCCATTGAGAAGGAACAGAGCTTTCTTTTCTTAAGTGCAATAAAATCTATCAGGGAGCTGGGCATGCAGCGGTGGGGTTCTGGGACCCTGCTGCCCGGGCCACTGAGGCTGCGCCCTGGCAGGCACTACAACAATGGGCAGTGGGTGGGTGGATGGGTGTGGGTGAGGGTGGGCTGGGCTGGGCCACTCCTGTTGGTGCAGCTGTCACACCTTTTCTAATAAACGGGAGCTGGGTTCACTACCTGCCTCTGCTTTGTGCTGGGGGAGAGCCGGCGAGAGGGGGATGGGTGCCAGTGGTCCCCAAAGGAAACCCAGAAGGCTGGACAGATCTCCCCCACACACACACCACACACACACACACCTCTCCCACCCTCTGCTCCATCCACACCTGCAGCAGCACACCGAGGCTGCTTGCTCTCCCCCCCTCGAGGCCTGGAGGTCCCCACTGCTGGGGACGCTGTCTAAGGGCTCAGATGGCAGGTCCATTTGTTGAGTGTGCACAAGGCCTGTGAGCCAGCTGCTCTGTCACCAGCATGTACCCGCCCGTGGGGGAGGGGAAGCTTGGCTAGGCAGCAGGGAGCTTGCTCGGTAAGGCCTTAGGTCGCAAGCACTACAAAGAAAAACTGGGGAGAAGCATTTATAGGAATGCCTCGTGGTGTCCTTGCCCGTCGGTGTTATAAACCTGGGAGTCTTCTGCACCCCACCATTGTATCTATGAGAAGCATCTGTTTTGTCAAAATGTTAACAATTTTTAGGTGCATAGATATGGGTGTACAAATTAGTGTGTAAATGTGGTGCATACCCGCCATGGCACACTCATGGAGATCAGGGGAGAACCTCGGGTATTTGCTCTTTACCACCTGGCTTGAGTCAGGAACTCTTAGACCAGGCTAGCTGGCCCATGAACTTGTTTGGAGAGTCTCCTGTCTGTGTTCCAGTGTCTTCCAGGATTACAGGTGTTAAACTGGCTTTTACATGGGAGCTGGGGTGTGAACTTCGGTTTTCAGGCTTTTTTTTTAATTCACTGAGCTCTTTACCTTAGGCAACATTGGATACTTGTTTGGGAGTGGGGCTTGAGGAAGCCATACACAGCAGCCAGTGCCAACCAAGGTGCCATCTGCTGCATCCCATCCCTTCAGTACACAGGAGACACCAGTACTGTCTGTGCCTGAGCTCCAAGATGCATCCTTTCTTCAGGGCCATGGGGGAGGGGGTTGAGGGAGCCTCACCAGGCTACGCTGCTTCCAGCCTCTTCTGGGGAAGGCTGAGGATTCCTGGGTTTCCTGTCTTCTGGCTGGTGGGGGTCCTGATAGTCTCCAAACACCTCAGGGCCCAGCAGAGTCCCCTCTGGGCTCCTCTTCGTCCTGGTGGTGTCTCTTAACGTGGCTTGAGAAACCCTTCGCCACTGCTACAGGGTTGGGTGTCCACCTTGGAGAAATGATGAGGGCCTAAGCATGTAACCCTGCTGGGAAGTATTCTTCCAGACAACGGTGTGAAAATGAGTCCCTTAGGATGGCCCCAAATCAACATGACAGGGCATTTACAAAGGGGCAGTTGGCCAGGGGCCATGGCTCAGTGGTACAGCACTTAGCAAGCGTGCTCTGGTTTCACCCTTAGCACCTCCAAAAAATACATGCACACAGCTGCTTGTACACCTGTAGTCCCAGTTGCTCAGGAGGCTAGAACGAGGCTCACTGGAACCCAGGGTCTCCAGCGCAGGCTGGGAAACACAGCAAGGTCCTGCCTCTTACCACCACAGGTGGTGGCAACAGGATTGGAGTGACAAGCCACAGGCCAGCAAAGCTCTCTCATGTTCTGGGAACCTCCATATGTAGGAGACAACATCCAGCAGCCATAGCCGCTGGTGGTTTCTCTGTTGGTGGCAGCCTTTCAGAGCAGAGGTGTCCGCTCTGTAGAGGACCTGGGGTTGCTGGAGGTAGAGGCAATAATCTGGCCACATAACTTCTTCCTCAGAAAACTCAGCCACCTGCCTATCTTTGTTTTGTGTTTCTCTGTGTAGCCCTGGCTGTTGTGGAACTCACTGTGTAGACCAGGCTGGCCTTGAACTCACAGAGATCTGCCTGCCTCTGCCTCCTAAGTGCTGGGGTTAAAGTTGTGTGCTCTCAGACTCTGCTGGTTTGGTTGTTTTGAAGCTGTGCCCAGTCAGAGTGGTCAGGCACAGGAAATGTCCCTAGTCAGACCTGGGGTTCAGCATGGAGGTGGCGTCTACCACGGGACTCATGGACGTCACCACTACAGGCTTATGATAGCTGTCACCCTGAGGCAGACAAGCATGCCTGGTCCCAGGACTGAGGGTCTTTCAACTCAGCTCATTACAGCAGCAGCAGAGGTACACATGGTACATGGACTTCCTTCTGGTTGGTGACAGCCAGCTCCTTGGGCCGTGTGAGTTCCTACCAAAGCCCTGTGGTATGTGGGGACTAAGTCCTGACATCCTGCTTGGGTTTGGCAGACACACAGTCAGAGGCGTAGACAGAGTAGGCTAGCTGTGGTGAGATATGAGGAGGTGGAGGCAGGAGCGTTGGGACCCTGTTTCAGCCTCTGAGGTCAGTCTTGGCTCCGCTGCCAAAACAAAACAGCCCAGTGGGGCCCCCAGCGGCACTGCAGCGGCCTTGGTCTGCCATCTCCCCTGTATGATGTCTTGGCTGATCCTAGGATACACCTATCCCAGCCTCAACGTGATGAAGAAGCAAGCCCAACCTGGCAGAAGGGAAGGGAGACATCTGGATCTGGGCCCCGCCAGATAGTCATGAGGGTCTGTCACTACTGAAGCTCCACCCTCCAGGGACATGCTCTGCCTTGCTGTAAAATTATTGTTTTGTTGTTGCTTTTGTTTTGGTCTATGTGTAGGGTTTCTCTGTGTAGCCCTGGCTGTCCTGAACTCACTTTATAGACCAGGCTGGCCTCAAACTCACAAAGTGCCTCTGCCTCCCAAGTGCTGGGATTAAAGGCATATGCCACCATGCCCAGCGGGCCTGGTTATTCTGAAACTCATTAAATAGACCAGCCTGGCCTTGAGTTCACAGACGTCCTCCTCCCTCTGCCTCCCAGGTTTTAAAGATGTATTGTTTTATATGCATGAGTGTTTGCCAGCACACATGCAGGAGCCCACAGAGGCTGGGAGAGGTCATCAGATCCACTGGGACTGTGCTGGGTCAGGTTGCTGCCAGAGCAGTAAGCACTCACCACCACGGGGCCATTCCTTCAGCCCGCCTGAGAGGGTCGGACCCATCCCTCATGTCTGGGTGGGGTACTATCACCCTGGTTGGAGGACTTGGTTCCTGGTGAATGGCTGCTGATTTCAGGCAACTGGGTCTTGAAATAATGCCATTCACCAATAATACAGAGAGCCAACAGGAACTTCCTAATCTTATTTTTAATCGTGTGTGTGTGTGTGTGTGTGTGTGTGTTTATTCATGTGAAAGCAGTGAGTGACCACAGGGGCCAAAAGAGAGCATAGGATTTCCTGGAGCTGAAGTTAGAGGCATTTGGCACCTCCTGAGCTGGGTTCTGGGAATCAAAGATGGATCCTGTGCAAGGGCAGCAAGTGCTCTTAACCATCAGCCATCCCCATGGCATGCTTTTGTGTATGTACATTTGTGAGGTCAGAGGACAGCTTGTGGGAACCGGTTCTCTTTCCACTCTGTCCTAGGGGTCTAATTCTGGTTGTCAGACTTGGCAGAAAATGCCTTTATGGGCTGACTGACCTTGGAACCATCTTTTAAAATATTTTTGTTTTCTCTTCTTCCTCCTCCTCCTTTGGCAGAATCTCACTATGTAGCTCTGGCTAGCTTGGAACTCACTCTGTAAGCCAGGCTGACTTGGAAATCTGTCTGCCTCTGCTTCCTTCTGGAGTCCTGGAATGAAAGGTTTGAGCTGCCATCCCAGCACAATGAAACTCCAAACATGAACTTAGGCACACCAAGGCTAAAAGATATATTTCCTGACAGTTACAGGAACCGTCCGACCTGTGAATCAGTCATTAGAGACCAAGGCAGTACGTGATAGGCTTAAACCTGAGACCTAAGGAACAGGAAAGCCAATAACAGCAACTAACGAACCTGACAGTGGATGACTTTGGAGAGCTCTTGATGGGTGAGAGGTACTGTCTTCAGGGTCCTGGCTCAGAAGTCACTGGTTTGGTCATGGGTATAACTCAGCAGTAGGGCCTAGAATCCTCCAGTGAGGGGCTGGGGCCATGGCTCAGTGGTAGAGCCCCTGCCTAGAATCCCCCAGTGAGGGGCTGGGGGGTGTGGTTCAGTGGTAGAGCACCTGCCTAGAATCCCCCAGTGAGGGGCTGTGGTGTGGCTCAGTGGTAGAGCCCCTGCCTAGAATCCCCCAGTGAGGGGCTGGGGGCATAGCTCTGTAGTAGAATGCTGGTCTAGGGGCAGCACATTATTAAATCCACAGCACCATAAAACAGGAAGCCATACCCTTGATCTCAGGTCTCTAATTTAGTACTGAGCCCTGTTGCTCCTTCCACACAACTGTGAATGAGGGACCCTGGTCTGAGCGTGTGATTGCATATTTGACTCTTGGGGACTCAGGCACCACCCACAGGAGTGACACCCACCCTGGTCTGTGACCATGCTAGCCGGGAAGGGCCGGCCCTGCCACAGCTGGTACTATCCTGCCTGGCTTTGCCATGACTCTGCATTCCCCTTATGTCCCAATCCTTGTTCCTCACCCTCCCTGCTGGTGAGGTGGCTGCACAGCCCCAGCCCCAGCCCCAGCCTGCAGCTCTGGAGTGACTAGTAAAACAAGCGCTTCCTCAACAGTTCGTCTTGGACAGTTACCTGCTTATCTGGGGAAGACAGTGCTACTCCCACCCATGTGGCGGAGGAGGCCTAATTAACACCCATGCTGAGGGGTGGAGCCACCTGGTGAGGTCACAGGCACCGCCCTGGGAAATGCCAGCTCCTGCCCTGCCCACAGAGGGCAGGCTAGGGTGTGGAGACAAAGGCCCGGGATCCCCTGAGGCCTGGGCGCTCCCCTCTGCCTGAGTCAACTTGGCGTCTGTCCTTCATCTCCCCTGCCCCCGCAGCCTCACCCATCACCCCCGCAAGCCTCCTACCACTCGGGATGCCAGCTTCAGTTGCCAGGATGCAGTCCGGAGGCCTGGCTGTCTGAGGAGGAAGTGGGTGGGGCAGGTGGCATCCTCACCTAGCCAGCAATCCAGGACATGGAAGCCGGCCCGGCTTTCCTCGGCTGCCTTTATGGCTCCTTTGACTGCGTGTTCCTCACTGCGCCCTCCGTCCACTCGGGCACTGCTGTGGCAGCTGCCCACTCCAGGAGGCTACCCCCTCCCACCCTGTGGCTTCCAGAGTCCTCAGGGTATGTGCCCTTCCAGCTTCATCAGGTTAGGCGGGAAGCTGCTGTCAGCTGGGGCTCTCCATCCCACACCCAGCCTCTACAGCCCTGAAATGAAAGGACCTAGGCCAGCGGCCTTGGCTTTCCCCGCAGGTCCGTGCCCGGGTGTGCTGCGCCCCTACTGTGTCCCGGCCCATGGCCCCCCTGGGACATCCCGGCCGCGTTACTGGCTCCGGGGCTGGCCTGGGGCTCCTCCCGGGACGGGGACTTGGGCGGGCTGGGCGGCTTGAGCGCACTGACGGCCCGGATGAGGCCCATGCGGCGGCGGATGGAATGGTCCAGGTTGACCGTGCAGCGCAGCAGACTCTGCGCCTCGGCCACGGTGAAGGGGAAATCAGTGCCCAGGAAGCGCTCGAAAAGCTCGGGGTCGCCGTCCAGGTCCAGCACGTTCTGCAGGGCCTTGGTCATGGTGTGCAGCTCGCGACTGTTGTCGCAGAAGACGTCCCAGAGGCGCGCGCGGCCCTCGGGCGAGCCCCCCGCCTGCTGCCGGTCCTCTAGGCACTGCAGCACCCAGCTGAGGCGGCAGGGCCACTGGTTGGCGAGCACGACCCAGGCCACGGCGTGGCGCGGCGTGGGCCCCACGCGGCCGGGCTGCTGCTGCTGCTGCTGCTGCAGCAGGCGCACGGTGATTGGCACCGTGTTGACGATGCGCCGCATGGACACCACGTTGTCGGGCACGTACTCGTACAGGCAGTCGTGCTCGTCGTGCAGGCAGCCCAGCGCCTCCTGGATGCGCCGCGCCGCCTCCGCGTCCACGCGCGCCTGCGCGCGCCCGGCCTCCGCGCTCGTCTCCACCGCCAGCAGCTGCGCGCCCTCGCCCGAGCCCCCGGGGCCCTGCGGCGTCGGCGGAAGCTGGACCGAGAGCTCCCGGAAGAGCAGGTCGTCCCGGCTGCGCACCGCGTCGTGGAGGAACCGCAGCTTGGTGCGGCGGCCCATGACCGGCACGGAGAAGGGCAGCGTGACGGTGCGGTTGAGGAACAGGTAGCCGTTGTCCGCGGTGCCCTTCATGTTGCCCGCGCTCTCCAGGCACGCGGCCAGGATGCTGGGGTCCACCACCAGGATGAAGATGAAGGGCGCGTGGCTGTCGGACAGCAGGGTGTTGATGGCGTTCAGCACGCCCACCACGCGCTCCGGGTAGCACGTGTCCAGCCCGGTGACCTCGAGGACCACGCGCAGCCGGCGGCGCTGGTAGATCTCCAGGAAGCACAGGAAGTCGGTGAGCAGCTCCACCTCCTTCTTCACCTCGCACATGAAGCCCAGCTGGCTGCCGAACTTCTCCCGCGACACCAGGCGCTCGATCTTCTTGCGCTGGCTCACGAACAGGTGCTTGCCCACGGAGTACACGGCCATGAGCAGCCCGGAGCCCGACAGCGTGGTGGCCGCGCCGCCCAGCGCCTTGAGCATGCCGCGGCCCGCGTGGCCCGGCGCGTGGCCCCCCAGCGACAGGTAGAGCAGCCCCACGCCCAGGCAGAGCGCGGCCAGCAGCGCCAGCAGCGCCAGGCACACGCGGCGGCGGCAGTGCCACTCGCGGTGGCAGGGGCCCTCGCGCGGGCCCCCGGGCTTGTTGCCCAGCACCGAGTACACGCTGAAGGGCAGCGCGCCGTAGTGGCGGCGGATGCCCTCGCACAGCGTGGTCACCAGCCCCGCCCACAGCTTGTCGGTGCCCGCGTACTGCCAGGCGCTGAAGCGGATGAACAGGAAGCGCACGTTCCTGCGCCGCAGGTGCAGCTCGGTGATCACCGGCTGCAGGAACACCAGGAACCACAGCAGCTGCGGGACGCCCCAGCCGCGCACGCGCCGCGGCCGCCACTGCACGCGCTGCAGCTCCTCGCTCTCGCGCTGCGCCGCCTCCTGCTGCATCAGCGCTGGGAGAGGGGAGGCGGGGGGACATGTCAGTGGCCTTGGCCCGAGGGGAGGGGCTGGGGCACTTGGGCCAAAGGGGAGGCCTGGAGGTCAGGACAGGGGTAGTAGGGACCTCCCTGGAGTGGGGATTGAGAGGGAGGTAGAGAGAGAGCCAGGACCGGGCAAGAGGCTGAGGCAGCCGGGATGTCTGGAGCGAGACATGCCCCCTTAAGACGTGGCCCCTCAGGGATGGTTGGATGGACGGATAAAGAGATGAATAAAATGCCCGTATAAAAGAATATGGATGGGGGCTGGAGAGATGGCTCAGTGGTTAAGAGCACTGTCTGCTCTTCCTAAAAGACCCGGGTTCAATTCCCAGCACCCACACGGTTGCTCACAACTGTCTATAACCCCAGTTCTAAGAGCTCTGACACCTTCATACTAATGCACATAAAATAAAATTAAATAAATTATTTAAAAAAAAAAACCAAGAGTATGGCTGGATAGATGAATGAATGAATGAAGTGTGGAGGTACAAGATGAATGGATCAGTGGATGAATGAATGAAATGTCCGGGGAACAAGATGAATGAAAGAGTATGAATGAATGAAAAACGTGGGAAGAGAATGGACCAGGCAGCCCCACGGCCTGGGTCATTCTCCGGCTGACTGTCCCTCCTCCAGGGCATCTGTCAGGACAGGTGTTATTGGTGTCACTGAGGACAGATACGTGTGTCCTAGGGAGGGCAGGCTGTTGTCTTGGCCGTCCCTGGATCCCCCAAACACCAAGGGGGTGCTGGCCTGGCGGAAACTGAACAGTGGGTGCCGAGTACTCTGGGACAGGATGTGAGGCCAGGGATGAGTGAGTGGGCCCGTCACCTCGCCGAGGGCTGGGACTCAGGAACATCCTCTAGACCCTGATCTTTCCTCCACTGCAGCCTTGTAACAGCAGCAGAAATGAAGAGTCAGCAGGGGCTGAACTCTGGCCATGACTGAGGGCCGCCTGGGCTGCCTGCCCTGCCGAGCCAGTGTGTATTCCAGGAAGCTTCTTCAGAGTGGGTTTGGTGGGGAGGGAGGTGGCAGGGAGAGGGCGTGACTCGGAGAAGAGGGCAGGGATAGGGACGGGACACCGTGCTTCCTGTCCCCCGCCCACTGTCGACACATGAAGATACTCACTCATGATTTTGTCCAACATCATGTGAAGACGGCAGCCGAAGGGAGCGTAGAAACCCACGGTCACGGGGACAGGCACGTGGCACAGAGTTTTAGCCAGACAGCTGCAGTAGACATCATCCTCTGTCAGGATGTCTGGGGGCGGGAAGGGGAAACTCAGTCAATGAGGCTGGTGGGGTTGCACCCACCCTCCTCCCGTGTGCCCCCCAGGCCTCCCGCTCTGCTCTGCTGCCAGCAGCCTCCTCCATGGATCCCAAGGCCACTCAGGTCAAGCTCTTCCATGGATGGCCTCTGCCCCTTCTAGGCCCTGGGCCTTCACTGTTCCAGCCCAGAGCCTTGCGGAATCTGGTTATCTTGACCCTAGATCCCTAGGCCTGCTCAGCCCCTAACATGCCTGTGGTTCTTGTAAGAAAACTACACGGGCCTTTCTTGGCATACGAGACCCTCAGCTGCTAAGACACCCTTATACCCTCAAAAGCTCCACAGGCTCCCCAGCTCTGCTCAGTTCCTCGAAGGGAGTTAGGAACTGAGAGGCTTGTGAGCCACTTGTCCCTTCTCGTGACAAGATACTAGGGTACATGGAGGGTAAAGAGGCTGACTCAGTGCTCCTGTATCCAATGGCCACTTGGGATTCAAGTTCCCCGTCCCAGAGGGCCTCAGACACAAGCACCATAATGTCTCCTCTGCAAGGGGCACTCTGTCCTCTGAGAATTGCTTCTTGGACCTAGATTAGGGTGTCCAGAAGGTGGGGACCAGTCATGGAAGTTGGGATGGCCTCATGGGATGAAAGCCAGGAGGAAGTTTAGGAGAAGGTGAGCTGAGGTGACTGCAGCTGGGGCAGGCCTCACCCCCAGCCATGCCTAATCAATGGGTGACCTCACTTTACTAAGCCTCTCTTTTTCTGAGTGTGAAATGGGCATCCGGGCCCCAGGCTCCCTGCCCAGCCTTTCTGTGAGTCCTCATTACCTGTTGCTCTACTTTCAGACCTAGGTCCTGAAAGATCTGTGTGTCCCCACACACTACCACTGCCCCTGAGCCTGGGTCCCTCCTGCTGGACTCCATAGCTGCCTGCCTCCTGGGGCCCGTCTCTGAGGGCCACCCCAAGCCCAAGCTTGTCTCTCCTTGGCTGTCCCTGAAACAGGCCACCTCAGAGCCTGTGCTTAATGTGACCCCGGATCTGGGTTGTACCCCAATAAGGCCTGATATGGCCCCATTACAAGCCCAGGGCCCCCTTTCCTGCCTGTCTTATTTTTCCTTAATGAGATGTCACCTAGTGGTCCTAGCTGTCTCCCTAAGGCCTGCTGCTCCAGGTGACCACATCCCCACACCTCTGGAGCCTTCCCTTCCCCCACCCACCCCCTAGCTCTTCTTTAACTTCCACTCTCGACCTGTGTCCCCCTCACCAGAGCTGGCCAACAAGATGCCCCAGGTCCTCATCACCCCCGTCCCCCGCCTCTTGTCCTCCCTGGCCTTGTGGGCCAGTGGAGGGAGGGCTAAGAAGAGAGAAAGCGGAGTCAGGGCACCAGCAAAGGGGCAGGGGTAGAGGCACGGAGCACAGGCCTGGCCTGGAAGTCAGGGACCCAAGGGTTAGGATATGCCCCTCCTGACAGGGGCCAGAGCTGTGTGTGGAGCGAGGACAGGCCCAAGGCGTCAGCCAGAGAGCAGAAGGCCCAGGCAGAAGCAAGACAGATGGGGACACAGCCCCAGAAGGAAGGCCTAGGCTGAGCACCGGCGCTGGCGCTGTAGGAGGTGAAGGAGCCGCAGGCTGCGGGCGCAGGCAGGGGCCCGGCCTCCGTAGGCTCGCTCGGCTCCAGGAGGGCGCCGGCTGCAGAGGGCAGGGCTGGGCCACGGCTCGCCGCAGCTGATACTGCTGTGGGTGAGGAGGTGGCGTGCTGAGGGGCGCTGGCTGGTCCCATGTGGACAGCGGCGATCGCAGGTGAGCCCTTCTGGGCCCCGCGAACTGGACCGAGTCGCTGCCGCAGCGGGCTGGGAGGGAGGGATGGGGGTTGTCGCTGCTGCTGCTGCCGCTGTCGCTGCGGAGTGAGGGGCTGGGGACACCGGCGACAGCCGCTGCCACCCCTGTGGCTGCGGTAGGCCTGCTGCCAGTGAGCCTGGGGGGACAGCTGACAGGGCCCACGGTGAGGGGCCACCGGGTCCTGGTACCACTGATGACAGCATCCTGGAAGGAAGGAAGTGGGGTTGACTGGGACTGAGTCCCGCTCCCCAAGGGGACACTGGCTTCAACCAGGCTGTGCTGTTCTGTGAGGCCCAACTGGAGCATCCATGGGAGCCCCAGAGGCCACAGGGGCACGAAGGACCCAGGGCAGGGACGGGGCACAGCGTCCGTGCTTTCCAGGGAGGACAGAGGGGGAGTACCACCAGATATTTGTGCGTCTTGGCACCCCGAATTCTGAGACTAATTTCCTGCATCCCTGTAGGGTCCCCTCTGACGGTTGAGGATCTACTGGCTGGTCAGAAGTGGTCAGAAGTGGCCAGAGTAATACGTGGTGGCCATGGAGAAGAGACAGGCTGGGGCAGAGAAGGCAGGAGGGCCCTGAGCTACCAGACCCCAGGGAGTCTGTGACAGTGCTAACAGGAAGGCACTGTCCACCGCCCGCTCCCCTTGGCCATTGCGGGAACCTGAGCCGCTGTCGCAGACATGCTCTGCGGGGGCCGTCCCCTCCATTATCCGGCTCCTCCGGAGGCTGATCCCCACAGCACGGCAGTTTTCGGAAGGGGCTCCTCTGCTCCTCCCCTTACCTTTGGGCTCCACAGAAGACCCCCACCTGTAGTATCAGCTTTATGGGAAGCTGAGGCAGGAGGCTTGTTTAAGCCTGAGAGATCAAGGCTAGTCTGGGCTATAGAGATCCTGTCTTAGCCCTGTTCAGTTAAGACCAGGCTCACTCTGTAGCCTAGGCTTGCCTGAAACTTATAACAACCTTCCTGCCTCAGCCTGGAAAATGCTGGGACTACAGGCCCGTGTCACAACTGGCTCTTGTGGCTTTTCTCCCTGGAGCCCGTTCCTTCTCTTGTACATAATCTCAGCACCCATCCACCGTCACCCCCCTCTCCTGCCACAGCCCACACCCGCAGAAATGAACTCTTACCTTTTTGGTGCCCTAACTGAGAATCCAAAAAATATTGTTCATTGGGGGTCCGGGCACTCTTGGTGAAGTGGACATTGTAGTTCTTCTGCATGGCGGGCCGTGACGCCCGTGGCCCGTTCCTGGATGGAAGGAGCAGTGCTCAGCTTGGTGGGGTCCCTGGCCTGTTTTAAGGTGAGCCTTGTGACCCTGGACAGGCAAAAGGCACAGTCCAGATTTGGAGGGGGGAGGCTTCACTGGGTCACCAGGGGCACAGAAGCCAGAAGTTGGCGTGGCCATGTGAGAAAAAGAGTGGCCAGATGCCTGGGGTTACTGTGGGGCCAGGTAGGGGCACAGAGGCTGTTGGCAGGCCGCTCTAGGAGGCGGATACAGCCCGACCTGAAAAGGCATGAAACAGAGTCAGACTGAAAGCTAAGAGCCGGGAACTGCCCGGCAGGGAAACAGCACGCAGAAGACAGTCGGGGGCCAGGAAGAGCGACACGGTGAGACTTCTCTCACAGAACAAAAGCATAAACAAATGTTGGGAACTAAACAGGGAGATGGGGGGGTCTGGAGGGAAAGTGAACTGGGTGGCCTTCTGCGGAGACACAGGCAGCCTGGGTGGAGGGGGAGCCGCGTGTTCAGAGGTTCCGAGAACGAGTCAAGGCTGAGCTAGGAAAGATGCTATCTGGCCCAGGACGATGAGAATCTGGGTGATTAGGGTGGGGGCAGACCGATGGTCCCACCTGCCGCCCCCCCATCCCAGCCTGGGCTCCCAGTACCTACCTGGTGGTGGCCCGGCGGCCCCAGCTCCCTGCCCGTGGCCCCACGCAGGCCTGGCTGGAGCCCAGAGGTGCCCGCCCGGCCGGTTCTCCTGCGAGCGTCCCCGCCCTTTGGGCAGGCGCCTGGCCTGCTGCTGTCTAGGACTGGGTGCCCCTGACAGAATGAACCCGGGAAGGGGTGGAGAGCCGGCAGCCGTCCTCACACTAGGTTTCTGGGCACCTCTTCCGGGAGGGAGGAGACAGCATACCAGGCCGACAGTCTGCTAGTTCTCTGTGGCCCGGTTGTGTCACTGTGGGTCAGTGACTTCATCTCTCTGGGCCTTGGCTTCCTCATTGCTAAATGGGCCAGGTTAGCACCTGCTCTTTGAGGCTGTCAAACGGATGAGTCCACCCAGCCAGGGGCTGGCCCTTCAGTACGGCACCAGATGACCCATTTATAAGACTCTGGATGCCTCACATAGAACCCTGGCCAGAGCATACACCAGGCAGTGGCTTCTGAGCCTACTACAGTAGCCCCTTTATCATCACAGCCCACAGAGTTGTGGTAGCGCCCACTCCACAGATGAGAAAACTGAGGCCCGGAGACACAAAGACCCTTCGTTGCCCCAGACCCACACAGAGTGGGGAGGTCAAAGGACGCAGTCACTTCCGAGGCTCTGCCCTGGGCCTAGCAGGCCAGGGTGGTGCTGAGCAAGGGGTGGGGGGGATGGGGTGGGAGCCGCTCCTGCAGTCAGGCACCTTCTCCCCACTGTGGTATCCCTTCTTTAGGGAGTGTCCCCTGGCCCCCTGGGAGGCGAGCTGTGGGGTGGCAGCTCCTGCTCGCTAAGCTTGTGCAGCAGAGAAGGGCAGAGATCCCTGCTGCTGGGTCCTGGGAAGGGTACAGGGTGGAGGTCGGCAGGCAGGCACTCACTATGAGAATTGGGGAATGAGGAATGTAGTTGTAGGGCATGGGGGAGGGGTGGACCAGGCTCCACAGAGGCCCCAGCTGATCCTGGCGGCACATACCTGAGTTCAAGGCCAGAGCTATACATAATGAGACCTTGTCTTCTTAAGTCATTTGATGTGTATGGATGTTTTGCTTTCGTTTATGTGAGGTCAGAATAGGGTACCAGATGCCTGGAGCTGCAGTTATGGAGCTAGAGAGAAGCACTGTGTGGGGCTGGGTCAAATCTGTGTACTCCCGAACCATCTGTCCCACAGCGAGAACCCTTGTCTTAGGGTGGGAGATTTGGAGTGATGGCTCAGTAGTCAGCAGTGCTCACTGATCTTACAGAAGACTGGATTCGGTACACACAGGCGCGGGAAAATTAACAAAAGAGCCGGTGGCCCTTGTTCCCTCCACTTCGGGTCTCAGCCCCACCTCAGCTTCCGGGCCTGGTGCTTACCCACGCAGCAGTGAGCAGCAGAGCCCAGGCTCGGGTCCAGGGGCAGCCCCCACATGCTACAGACACAACCAGAAGCAGGCGGCAGGGTGAGGCTGCATTCACTGTGCCCTGCTGGGCGGAGGGCAGCCCCAGACTTGTTGGCTGGCAGAGCCGCGAGCTGGGCCAGGTGTCCCCAGGGCTCACAGGTGCGGGAGGAGGGCCATGTGTAAGTCACTGCACAGATCTGTTGCCACATAAAGAACCTTTATTGAGCATTTCATCTGGGGGATGCCCTAATGTCCCTCCATGCCCATTAAATCCCTGGCCTCCTGAGACCCTCCAGCTTTCATTTCCTTGTCCGAAGCACATGTGACCTCAAAGCCTGGGAGCTCCAGCTCCAGCTCTGAGGCCATCCGCAGAGGTGAGCACTTGGGCAGGGCCAAGGTGCCACAGTCTCCCGAGGTTGAAGTCAGGACAGGGCAAGAGCGCTTCTCAGGACTTCTGGATTACCACCTGGAATTTACCTGAAGCGGAAGGGCCCGCACAGAAAGGCTGTGAGCAGACTGGCTCTCAGCCTGCTCTGCACCAACAGCATGCGTGGCCCTGCCAGTGTGTGGGTGCCAGGGGCACTGCCCCACCCCGCCGGCCTGCACCCCAGCCCATGGGGCAGGTGGCTCAACATGCAGGAGGCAGGAAGGCTGGCCCGAGCTCCTGACGTGTCCTGCTCATTCAGCCCAGGTCCCCACAGTGACAGGCAGGGGTGGCAGTGGTCTAGGCGGGGTGGAGGGAGGAGGGGGTGGTGTTCCGTCTTAGGTGCAGCTGTGTTCTGTGGGATCTATAGCAGATGGATGGCGGAGGCCAGGCTCCAGAGCCGGTAGGAGCCTGGCCAGGGTATCTGAGATGCCCCGCTGGGGTCTCTGCGGCATCTTCTTAGAGGAACCCCAGGGATGCAGGCTGGGCACATGGATCCACTCACGTTACCTGTCTATGGGCCTCAAATTTCATGTCAGAGGTGGCTTGGCCTTCCCAACCCTGATGAGGGACCGAGGATGGGGAGCCCCAAAGCCTACACCATGAGTCGGAGACAAAAAGCACCCTCCCCCAGTGACTTACAGGCAGGCAGGGAAGCCACAGAGGCGGTGACCAGGCTCCGGAAACCGAGGGTATGGAGGGCGCCGCACAGAAGCCCGCAGGGGAAGGCCAGGAACTGGAATGGGGTGGGGGCGGGGAGACAAAGAGCACGCTGGGAAGAGGGGATGCCAGGCCCCAGCGCCAGGAGAGGCCTAGCGGGGTGGACAGATGGGCATTCCTGTCCCTCCCCCAGTACCTTGGGAGCTTCCTCTAGATACTGTGGCCCTGAGCCCATGGTGATGAGGAGGGGGAAGCTGTTGTCCTGCAGCACATAGGTCCCCTGGCAAGAGAAAAGAGCATGGAGGCTGGACACTGACAGGGGAGAGAAGACCCAAGGGACAAAGGACTCCCCACACTCCCAGCATCCAATCCTTCAGAGCACGGAAGGCCTGGACACCCAGGAGCTCCTGGGCCGTCCTGATGGCCACGTGGCCTGTCAGGGGTGCTGGCAGAAGCGGAAGTCCCGGCCCCTGAAGTGGTGGCGGGGAATGGGCACAAGTGTGGGTGGGTGTTCAACAGGGACAGACACAAACCCAAGACAAGAATCGTCACGCCAAGGCCACTAGCTGCCTGTGTAAGGCTCACTCCTGAGAGGCAGGCTGAAGGGGAAGAAACAGCCCCGCCACCCCACTGCAGCCTAGTGCTGCTCAGGGCCTCCAAGAGGGGGTTCCTGTCTCCTAGCCCCCAGTGGGCCCACCTAGACGTCCCTTGTGGGGTCTCTGCTGCCCCCAACCTGGAAGCAGGTGCTAGGGCGGGCCGGCCCGCTCGCACACCCACCTGGTGGTTGGTGCGGAGTCCATCCATGTGCTTTTGGAACATGGCCGCCCACAGGTCTTTGCATAGGAACTTGAGGGCATCTAGTTCCTCCCTAAAGGCCAGGGTCTCCCGGGGCAGCCTGGATGAGGGTGTGGAGCGAAGCCAGGCCCACCTGTCCATGTGTGGGCCCACGAGAGCCAGCTTCCCCACCCTGGGTCCTGCCAACAGGAACCGGACTTCAGGTCTGCCCACCCTCCCAGGCAGCAGAGGAGGGCAGGTGGGGCTCGCTCTCACCTCTCACCCAGAGCCTGGCCCACGCGGAAGCCCAGGCCCTCCAGGACTGACAGGCTCTTCTTTCCCTAGAAGGCCAAGAAAGGGAATCTCAGGAGTGTGCCACACAGGTTTCTTCCCCAGTTCTTTCTTCCCTTGGCCAGGAAAGCTCAGCTTCCAGATCCTTCTATCAGATTCCTGGAAGCTGTGCTGGTCTCCTGGCCAGGTGGGTCCCTGACCCCAGCCCTCTTATCTGCCCTGAGCCATGTTGAACTTGTGAGGCTGGGGCCTAGCTGTCAAGTTCACCTAGGCCAGCAAAAACACCCAACCAGAGAAGGCAGCAGCCAGGGGCTGAGCAGGTCTGCTGATATAGGCACTCACGAGAACGCTGTGCTGCTTGTCTTCAACGTGGGGGACTGGGGGTGGGGGGTAGGGCAGGGGCTAAAGCAGGGTGGCTAATGCATGCTGCACTTCATGGGTGGAAACAGGCTCTGAAGGGTTAAAAAGCGCCCCTAGCGAGCTGGAGGAGATGGCTCAGAGGTTAAGAGCACTGCTCTTTCAGAGGTCCTGAGTTCAGTTCCCAGCAACCACTCGGTGGCTCACAACCATCTATAATGAGATCTGGTGCCCTCTGCTGGAGTGTAGGCACAAATGCAGGCAGAACTGTATACACAGTAAATAAAACTAAATAAATAAATAAATAAATAAATAAATAAATAAATAAATAAATAAAGCCACCCTAGGGCAACTGCAGGCCTGTCACCTGCAGGGGAGGCTGGGTTGGAGGTGGGAGGACCAGGAGCATGAGGTCACCCTCAACCACACAGTGAGCTGAAGCCAGCCTGGGCTACACGAGGCAGCCTCAGTTACAAAATGGGTTGGGGGCATGGCTCGGTAGTAAGGCACCCACCTCGTATGCCTGAGACCTTGCATTCAATCCCACCCCAGTACCACCACATTCAAACAAAATGCCAGCTCAGTTGGGGGGCCTGTGTAGTGGAAGCTTTGGTTTCTTTAAAACTCAGTTATGTAAACATGTTTTTGTTTTAATCCCAGGTGTGGGATATGGGCCTCTTTGCCCACAGCTGTTAACTATGATTGCCTCATGCTCTGAGAGGGGCATAATCTTTGCCAGTGCAGACAGTTTGATTTTTGAGGACTCTGAGAGGGTATAAATGTCAGCGCCCAGAAAGGGGCCAGGGCTCAGAGATAGAAGATGGCTGCTACTCTCCCTGCTGCCCAGCGCTGCTTCTGGTTGTCCTGCTGTGTTTGCTGTTGCTCGTTTGCTGGACCATTGGCAATCCTGACTACAAAGATTAAACTCACCCCAAGAAACTAAGTCTAAAGAGGTCTATATCTCCTTTCCCTTCTAACCTTTCTCTCCTACCTATGGCTGGAAGGAGGTAGAGGTATAAAAACTGACATAGATAAAACTACACCAACCGGCCTGGATGAAGGGCACCCACATTTCAAGTCAAGGTGTTAGCCAGGCACAGAGGTACAAGCCTATGACCGCAGCACCTAGTAGGCTGAGACAGAATTAGAAACTCGAGGCCAGCTGGGGCTACATACTGAGACCCTGCCTCAAGCCCTCTGTCCCCCAAAAGACTGGGTGTATTGGTGCACACCTTTAACTGCAGCACTCCAGAGGCAGAGACGGGTGGACCTCTGTGAGCTTCAGCCTAGCCCGCTCTACAGAGTGAGTTCTCTATTACAAAGCTAGAGCTTTACAACAGAGAGACCTTGTCTCAAAAAACAAACAAACAAACCATAAAACAAACAAAATCAAAGCAAGCCAGCAAAATGGCTCGGTGGCAAAGGTGCTTGCTGGCGGCCTGAAGCCCTCAGTCACATTCTGGGATCTCACAGAGGCAGGAGAGAAGTGACCTCAGAAGTTGTCCTCTGGCCTGGTGCAGTGGTGCACGCCTTTAATCTCAGGACCCCAGAGGCAGGTAACTGAGTTTGAGGCCAGCCTAGTGTACGCAGTGAATTCCAGGCCAGCCTGGTCTAGAGAGGGAAACCACTTCAAAACCAACAAGCTGTCTCTGATCTTCACACTCATGCGGTGGCCCACTGAGGAGCCAGGCCTCGCCCAAACAGGCAGAGGTGATTCGGCTTCCCTTAGGAAGTGGGGGTGCTCAGCTGGCTTCCTAGGAGGAGGGCCTGGCTTTGATGGTAGATCTGGGCAGAAGACAGATGCTGATGGGGGCAGAGCACTCCCCATCCCCCCAGGCCCGGAGGGTGACGCGAACGAGATCCCTGCTCTATCAGTTGACCTCTCGCTGGAATTATCTGGTGTTCCGAGTGTCTGGGTGGAGATTGACCTTCCCAGATTTAAAGAGGTCAGGAAGATGGGGTGGCGCTGAGTGTCTTGCATCTCAGTTTCTTGGTGTGTGAAAGGAAGGTAGTCCTGGTAGCCATCCCTTGGGATGCTCAGGGGAATTCAAGCCACAAGTCAACGTAAGTCTCACTGTGACACCCTGCATGGCGCCTGTGTCCATCAAAGGAGGTGACAGTCCCCAGCCAATGTGAATGAAGCCATTAGCTGGAGAACCCCGTAAAGGAGGTGGCTGTGTCCTAAGGCTCTAGAACCTAGAATAGCCTAGCGGTCAGCCTGGGAGCCCTGATGACCATTGCTCGCTCAGAGTTCATGCCAGCTCTAACTGCAAAGGAACACATCCCTGAAAGGATCTCCTATGGTGAAAAGGAAAGGTCAACTCCATGTCTCAGGTTCCCTGATGTTCTCCAGAGCTCGTCTGCCATGCAGAGTGGGATGACAGATATCCAGCAGGTCCCCAGACACCCTGATTGCAGATGCATGGCCATGCACAGCAGGCCCACCAGCCTAGCCAAGAGCCCACAGGGCCAGCGGGGTCACCAGCCTAGCCAAGAGCACACAGGGTCAGTGGGGTCACCAGCAAGCTCAAGTTCTCCTTCCACAGACCTCACACACCCTGGGATGGACAGCTGGATGTGTGACCTAGATTCGGTGGCCTCGGCTTCCCTCATGTGCAATGAAGCTCAAGGCACTACCCACTCACAGTGACGGTTACAGAGGCACAGCTGTGGTCACTTCTGGCCTTCCTCTGCCTGTCCCTGGGCAAGGGTCAATTAAGTATCTGCTGAACTGAAAAGACTGGAGTAGCAGGGTCAGGGGTGAGGAGACAATGAATGCTGGGGTGCAGTGGGAAAGACGGACGGAGGGAGAGAGGGAGAAGAGGCAGGAAAGACGGACAGAGGGAGCTAGCCCTACCACAGCCATCTCGGCAGACGTGGAGATGTCACGGCCTCCACAGGCTCTTGGATATTTTGAGTTTCTTTATTCTCCTGAAGGAGACAAAGCAGGACTCTGCTGCCCCTATGAACAGACCAGAGCCCAGGCAGTCAGTGCACTTCTAGGTCTGCCCACATGATCACGGGTGGAAAGAACAGGAGGCAATACACAGAGAGGGTGCTAGAATGTGCTCAGTGTTGGAAGAAATGACGCACGGTGCAAGGCAAAGAGCAGCTGGGTTGGGCAGGCCCCTACCCACAGGTAAATTCTGGGTAAGGAATGAGTGTTTGGTTTGGACTCTCCCTAAGGCCTATGCAGCTTCCCAAAACACCAGGACCTTCTTCCAAGCCCCAGTTCTGAAAACCAAGACAAGTCATTCACCTCAGGTGCTGTTTTGAGAACCCGAGCACTTGACCTCCACAGGTAAAATTGCAAAAGTCCATTTTAGGAAATGAAGTGTTTGCACATGGCCCACACGTACTCTCCCACAGACCTTGTTTTATTTTGTTGTGCTTGAGGATAGAACCTATCTTCTCACTCGGAGGTTCTAGGCAGGGGCTCTACCCCTGAGCCACACTCCAGCCCCTCCCTGGGGAATTCTAGGCAGGGGCTCTACCCCTGAGCCACACTCTAGCCCCTCACTGGGGGATTCTAGGCAGGGCCTCTACCACTGAGCCATACCCACAGCCCCTCACTGGGGGATTCTAGGCAGGGGCTCTACCACTGAGCTATACCCTAGCCTTCTTATAGGTTGTAAATCCTCTCTAGATGATTATAATGCTAATACAATGTAATTGCTATATAGTTATACCGTACTGCTTAGGAAGTTTTAAAAAACGTTTGTAAATAATCATTACAGATGTAATTAAAAAAAATAATCTGCCTTCAATCCCAGCACTTGGGAAGTGTAGGTAGGTAGGAGGATCATGTGTTTGAGACTAGAATAGTGTATAAAGTGAAAGGCCCTGACTCCGTGGGTGTACCACACTGGGGACACAGCATGCAAACCAGACACAGGAGGGCCCACTTGCCACTTGATCCAGAGGGGCATTCCCCAAGTCAGAGAAGGCATAAGAGAGTGAGGAAGTTCGGTTTGGTGTCTGCACACCTATAATCCCTGCACGTTCCAAGCAGAGGCGGGAGGACCGCCAGAGGCCAGCCGGGCTGTACAGTGAAAACCTGCTTCAAGGACCACCTGTGTGGGGGCGGGTGGGGGTGCTCAGGGAAGAAAAAAACAGAAAGAGGGCGCAGGGCAGTCTCTACAGCAGGTCTTGAATTCCCACATGCAAGGATCGGGAGGAAGCCATGACAGCTGCCATGTAGCCTATAGAGGCTGGGAGGTTCCTGAGGCTTGATGGTCAGGCCACACTCCCTCCAACACTATTATCAGCTGTGGGACCCCAGTCCGGAAACAGTCAGCGGCAGCAGAAGGAGCTAGGAGTCCCACCACCGCCGCCACCACCACCAAGCTCACATCGCTGTAGACTCACAGAAAGCAATTTAAAACCCTTTATTGAGAGTCAAGGTGACACAGTGAAGGCTGGAAGCCCCCCCCCACCCCACACACACAGCATGGCCTCAGCGCAACGCAGCCTCTTCATGGCCCAGATAAAAAGGTCAGGCTGACCTCCCTGGGATGGGGTGAAGACCCGAGACAATGGGAGTGTGACACCCAGGACAACACAAAGGAACACGTCAGTGGTAGCAACAGTGATCCCGGCGCCACCCTCCACATCACCGGGTGGGGTCTTTACTCACTGCTGGGGCAAATGCACACTAAAAGACCCACTGTGTGCTGGGGTGCACGCGATCTGCACGGGCTCTGTCCCGGCTCACACGGGCACACGGGCAGCGGGGGCAGGGAGGGGTACGCTTAGGGTGCATTTTCTGAGGGGGAAACGGAAGGACGGGGAAATTAAGACGTTGAGCTGCGCACTGAGAGGTGAGGCGAGTCCTGCTCCCCGCCCGACAACTGCCAATTACCCTAATTACCAACGGCTCACCAGGCCCAGGCCCCTGAACTGACCCATGGCCCCGAGTCACGTCGCACCGCCTCAGCAGCGACCGGCCGGGAAGGCTCGATCGCACCCCGCTTCTCCACAGAGAAGTCACCCCGAGGCCACGGCGTGCCGCTCACCCCCCAGCCAGGGTCCGGGTCCGGGGCCCACAGCTCGGCAACCATCTCGGTGTGCAGAAACTCGAACAGCACCGGGTCCGCCATGCGCCCGCCTCGCGCCCCTCGCCCCCAGGCAACGCTTCCGGCCCGCTCGCCTGGTCCGCCCGGCAGGCGCGCGCTGATTGGTGCTCGGCCGGGGGGCGGGGAAGCCGGGGGGCGGGGCCAGCAAGCCCTCGTCCTGGCACGCTGACGTCTTCCGCCCTTCCTTCGCGTCCCTCGCTGCCTCCGCGTCTCCGGGCGTCCCCATTGGCTGAGCCTCCAGTTCGCGTGACGGTCTAAGTGAAGGAAACACCCCATGCGCCCCACGGAATCTTCCAGGATAAGTCAATTAATTAATGGTCCTAAACCCACAACGCGGAAGCAAGCGGGTTGCCTAACCGCCTTCCTATTGGCCGGCCCTCGGCTCACGTGACCCTCCGCGGGGACAGCGCCTCACTTCCGCCGGGCGGCGGATCCCTAGGGCCCGGAGCTCCGCGGACCTGGTATGACCTTCCGGGACTGAGGTGGCGGTGGTTCCCGTTAGTGTCCCCTCGGGCGGGCGTCCTTCCTGGGTCCGCCTGGTGCCCGCCAGCCTGCTCGCTGGCCTGGAGGACGGTGGAGGGTGTGGCCATGCTGCCGGGCGCTGGGAACGCTCGGGCACAGGGCTTTTTGAAAAAGCATTTTGCAATCGTCAGTGTAGCTCTGGTTGGTCCGAGACGACTGTGAGTTCGAGAGCAGGCTGGCCTCGAATTCACAGAGCTCTGCCTGCCACTACCTCCTGTGCTGGGGATTAAAGGCGTTATTATTGTATGTACTTATTTAGTGTGTGTGTGTGTGTGTGTGTGTGTGTGTGTGTGTGTGTGTGCACGTGCATTCCACAGCACGCGTGTAGAAGTCAGAGGACAACTCGGCGGGCCTCCGTTAGCGCCTTCCATTATGTGTGCCCCGGGGATCGAACTCATGGCGTGAGGCTTGGCTTCAAGCCTTTCCACCGCTGAGCCATCTGGCGGTACCTAGTTCCAAGGCTCCGCCTGTCCTCGGTTTCCCTGGTGTGCACAGGAACGATACTGAGGTTCAGAATTCCAATCCATGTGTGCACAAGAGGAAGCTGAGCCCAAATCGGAACTGGCTGGGGGTGGCGGCGGAGGGACTGGGACCTCACGTCCATGCGCTCCCCCCCTCCAGCTCCGCGTCATGGCCTCGTCCCAGAGTCGGCAGCGGAGGCCGGGGACCGTGGTGCCTGGAGAAGCGGCGGAGACCGACTCGGAGCTGTCTGCGACCTCATCGGAAGAGGAGGAGCTGTACCTGGGTCCCTCGGGCCCGACGCGCGGCCGCCCTACGGGGCTGCGTGTGGCCGGGGAGGCGGCGGAGACCGACTCGGAGCCCGAGCCGGAGCCCACGGCCGCGCCGGGCGACCTGCCCCCGCTGGTGGTGCAGCGCGAGGCGGTGGAGACGTGGGGCTCTGAGGAGACCCCTGTCGTAGCGCCTCCGCGCTCGCTGCTGCAGCTCCGGCTGGCGGACAGCCAGATGCGCCTGGACCACGACGTGGCGGCGGCGGTGAGCGGCGTGTACCGCCGTGCCGGCCGCGATGTGGCCGCCCTGGCCGGGAGGCTGGCGGCTGCCCAGGCCACCGGGCTGGCGGCCGCCCACAGCGTGCGCCTGGCGCGCGGGGACCTCTGCGCGCTCGCCGAGCGCCTGGACATCGTGGCTGGCTGTCGCCTGCTGCCGGACATACGAGGGGTGCCCGGCATCGAGCCGGATGAAGACCCGGGACGGAGAGCCTAGGCTGACTCCTCGTGCCTTCCCCCTCACTCTGCCACTTGGTGCCACCGGTGGCATCAGACTCTTTGATCCTGGGTCACCATGGCCTCCAATGTAATTGGTTTATGCCGACAGGAGCCGAGTCCTGGCTACGTCGTTGGTTTGGCCCAATTATATTCTTAGCACAATTCGGGGATTCCTCATCCCCAAGACTCCGTGGCTTAGCCCTCACCCCTTCACTCCTCCCTAACTCCGGCTTTCCTTTTAGACTGGGCTGGGCTTTGCTTGCTTTGGTGGACCATCCCTGGGTTTAGGATGGGGGTGGCGGTGGCGCCCTCCAGTTTACATCCCGCAAATGATGACCGCCTTTGACCCAAGGAGACCTACACCACAGCGCTGTGGCCTGATGCAGACCAAGCTAGGCCACAGTGAAGCCCATCTGACCCCATCGGGCGCTTGGCCTGGGCCAGCGACCCCTGGTGTTCTGGTCGCTGTAAGACATGACCAGATACAAACAGTGACTTTCTGGATGCTTAAATGGACTCAGCTTTCTGACCTCTGTGGGCACCGCGGGTAACAGTTTCTTTTTGCTGGTTTGGCTCCTGGCTTTTTAATCTCGTGTTAATGAGGATTCTCTGGCCTTTAAAGGGAGAGAACTTGGGTGGCGGGGTGAGCCTGCAGCGCAGGGGTTGGAGTGTGGGCGGCCCCGGGTGCAGTTCCTAGTGCCCCTCTCCAAAAGGAACAAGGAAGCTAGCACGTTCTGAGTTATCGCTGTCCCTTCCCAAGATCTTCCTCCTTAATCCTGACACGATATTTAACTAGAATTAGGTTGTTTGTTTTTTAAGATTTGGGGGAAGGGTTGGGGATTTAGCCCAGTGGTTGCTTAGCAAGGGCAAGAGCCTGAGTTTGGCCCTCAGCTCCAAAAAAAAAAGAGACAAAAATAACAAAAAAGACACCCCTACCCCAGAAAACCATAACTGGCGCATGCCAGTCAGTGGTGGGTCACACCTTCAGTCCCAGCACTGAGAGCAGAGGCAGGCAAACCTCTGAGTTCGAGGCCAGGCCAGTCTAAGAGTGAATTCTAGGACAGCCAGGACTACGCAGAGAAACCCTGTCTCAGAGGGAAATTGTGTGCTTGTACGTGTGTGTGCCTGTGTGCTCGCCCGTGGATGTGCACGTGAAGGCTAAAGGTTAACATGAGCTGTCTTGATTCTCCACCTTAGGACGCGTGCTAAATGCAGGTGTGCCTGTGTAGTCGGGTGTGTCCTTGTGTAAGCAGGTGTGCCTGGGCCTGAATACAGATGTGCTCCTGCATGCAAGGGCCTCTGTACCACGGAGGCCGAGTACCAGCCTGTCCTCCAAGCCTCGTCCTCTCCAGAAGCTCTGCTGTGCCCCGCTGCACAGACCACCATGGCCCTGTTGACCTTTGGCTTCCCTTGCGGAAGGAAAGGATGAGGGGGTCTTCTGAGCTCACCTAAGTGTCTAGCCTACTCCTCCTCAGCAGCAGCGGTGGGGTGCGCACAGCCATGAGGAAGCCCTCATCCCTACTGTGTGCAGACTTGCCAGTGTGGCTGCCCCTGCTCAGAAGCCCTTGCCCGCCACGCTCTTAACTAAGCCTTGAGTCAGCTTGGGTGGAATGGTGTCTCAGTTTGTCTCTGGAACTGTAGGGGAGGGGCCGCCATCGCCTAGCCTCCCCAGGGAAGGAATTTGAGCAAGGGGTTGACACAGGAAAGTCATCTTCGGTCTGTTTATTATTGGTGCTATTATCGCTAGGTGTTGTCGCTGAGATGCTCTCTCACCACGCCTGGAGGGCAGGAGTTTAGCTGGACTGGCTTGGCCACTGCCCCGAAAATTCCCCCTCTCACAAAACCTAGACAGGCTGGAGGCCAGGCAGCCCCTCTTCCCATAGTGCTTAGCCGCACCTAGCCACCTTAGTTTTTGAGGCAGGGTCTCTCTGACCCCGAAGCTTGCTGCTTTAGTTAGAGCAACCCGCTGTCCAGCCCCTGGGATTCTCCTGTTCTCACCCCCCCCAGGATCAGGGTTACAGACAGGCATTACCGCACATGCTTACTGCCGTGCTTACACATGGCATTTCACTTCTGAAAAGAAATTTCAATATAGACTTTAAGCATGACAATAAGAGAAAAAGACAGGCATGCCTGGGGTTGACTGTCAGCTTGACCAAATTTGGAGTCAGCCAGGAGACTCACCTCTGGGCCTGCCTGCGGGGGTCTCTGCAGCTCCTTAACTGAAGCAGGAAGACCTGCCCACCTCGGGGCGTTCCATTCCCTGGCTAGGATCATGGAGCAGACAGAAGGCGGCCTGAGTGGCAGCTTGCCTTTGTCTTTCCTTTTCGAAGCTCCTAGCACCCTGACCTTCCTCCATGGATCGGGAGCCAGGATGAACCCTTATCAAGGCATTCTACCAAGGCAACGGGAACAGGAAGGAAGACAGCTGCCCCTGTATCGTGTCTGCCTTGTTGTCTTTCTTCACCAGCACACACAAGCTTCATGGAAGGAGGAGGAGGGGCGTTGTATTATTTCAAGACAGGGTCTTGAAATGTCACTATGTAGTCTAAGGTGATTTTGAATTCACTGTGTAGGCCAACTGCCCGCAAACTACCAGCAATCCTTCTGCCTTGGCATCCAAAGCGTTGGATTGACTCTAGCCATGACCCTCCACTCCAGAGGGTAGGCAAAAACTAGGGTACTTGTTGGGTCAAGAACGAGGCGGGGCTGAGAAAATGGCTCTGGCTGAGGGCACTTGCTTTGGGAGCACACATGTAAAATGCCAGGCACAGCTTCCAGCGCCTGGAACTCAGCATCGAGGGTGCTGGAGACAAACGGACCCCAAGAGCTCGCTGGCCAGCCGTCCAAACAGAGAAGTCAAGCTTCCGGTTCAGTGGGAGGCTACGTGTTAAACAGCAAGGCCAACGGCCGGGGTCGGGGGCAGGGGCACAGAAGAGGACCCTCAGCAATCAGCTCCGACATCCACGTTTGCACATATGGGCATGCACACACACACAAACACACATAGGTATAGGGGTTGGGGCTGGACAATGTCTCCATATAGGACCTGGGTGGGTCCGAGTTAGATGGTGAACCAGCCATTGGCAAAATCTGTACTTGGTGCAGGGATGTAGCTGGGGCTAGGGGAGGGGGGCGGTGTGTGCTGGATGGAGACAGGGGTAGGCTGAGGGCCTGCCTCCTCGCCCTTCTATTCCTTCTCCAGAGCAGGAGCGCAAAGCACACGCCTCCCTCTGGCACTGGGAGATCTGTATCCGTATCTATTAGCGGCTGGGGTATGCCCATCTGCGCAGGAGGCAGTCCCGTGCCCGTCTCCTTCCCGGGGTGGCTGGAGCGACCCAGCAGGCCTCGCTTGCGCAGTGAACGCTGTCCGTGGCTTGCAAGGCATGATTAAGCCGGTACCCAGCGAGACCAAGCTTAACGCGCAGCCTCTTCCCAGGCTGCTCCCTGGCTCTCTGCCGCCCTCTGTTGGAAGTCTCGAAAAGACGCGCTGCTGTTGCCCTTCCCCACGTGCCGACTCCACGGCCTGTCTTCCTTGACCTTTCATACTCCCTGGTTCTAATTTCTCAGAATATTACTTGGAAAAAAAAAATTACTTACCTGGAGTGGGGGACAGCGCTGTCACCTGGAGCTTAGAGATGATCTAAAATTCCTCTCTCTCTTGTTTTTGTTTTGTTTGTTTGTTTTTGGTTTTGTTTTGTTTTGTTTCGCTTTGCTTTGCTTTGTTTTTGAGACAGGGTTTCTCTGTGTAGCCCTGGCTGTCCTGGACTCGCTTTGTACACCAGGCTGGCCTTGAACTCACAGAGACCCGATTGCCTCTGCCTCCTGAGTGCTGGGATCACAGGCATAGGCCACCGCCCCCCACCCACCCCGCACCCTGCGGATGAGCTTCGTTTTTATTGGAATTTATTTTTGGAGGAGGTGAGGCAGGGTGTCACGTACCCGAGGCTGGCCAGAGACACCTTGAGCCCCTTCGCCTCCTGACCTGTGCCACCACCCCAGGCTGTTTATTTGTTAATTTTATTACATTATTTGTGCATACATGCACACCATAACGTATGCACATACATACACATTTGTTTTCCCCTCTGCTTTTTTAGATTTATTTATTATTTATACAGTATTCTGTCTGCATGTACACCTGTACACCAGCAGAGGGCGCCAGATCGCACTAAAGATGGTTGTGAGCCACCATGTGGTCACTGGGAGTTGAACTCAGGACCTTTAGAAGAACAGCCAGTGCTCTTAATCTCTGAGCCATCCCTCCAGCCCCATATCTGGTTTTTTGAGGCAGGGTTTCTCTGTGTAGCCTGAGCTGTCCTGGAACTCACTCTGTAGACCAGGCTGGCCTCTAACTCAGAGCACTTTCTGGCTCTACCTCTGAGTGGTGAGATTATTTTATTTTAGTTTTAAAATATTTATTTTAGTTTTAAAAAGTTATCTGCGTGGGTGTTTTGCCCATATGCATGTCTGTTCCACGTGCATGCCTGGTGCCTGAGGAGGCCAGAAAAGGACACTGGATCCCCTGAGCCTGGAATTACAGAAGGTTGTGAGTGGCCATGCGGGTGCTGGACTCACACCCATGTCCTCTGGAAGAGCAGCAGGTGTCCTTATCTGCTGAGCCATCTCTCCAGCCGCAGGAGGGTACCTACTTCTTAAATAGTCTAGTGAGGACACTGAGGGTAGCACCTGGAGGCAACTAGAAAAACCTGTCTTCTTTTCTTTTAAGATTTAGTGTATGTGTCTGTGTATATGTATATATTCTGTTTGAATGTGTGTCAGTGTGTATGTCTTTGTGTTTGTGTGTGTGTCTGTGCATGTGTGTTTGTGCATGTATGTGTGTGTATATTTTGGTGTATGTGCATGTGTTTGTGTATGACGTGTGTGTGAATGCGTGTGTGTGTGTGTGTGTTTGTATGTGTATGTGTGTGTGCATGTGTGTATGAGTGTGTCCAACAGTGTATATGCAGCCACCCCTGTGCCACAGTGCCTGTACAGAGGTCACAGGACAACCTTGGGTGTCGGGCCCTGATTTCCACCTGTGAGAGACAGGGTGTCCGGTTCACCGCTGCCACACCAGGTTAGCCAAGCCCGAAGCCCTGGGGATTCTCCTGCCTCTGCCTCCTGCTTACAGATGGCCTGTGCCTGGTCTTATGTGGGTTCCCGGAGAACCTGGCCTTGGGCCTTCACACCTGTGGCTCACCCCGGGGGCCCTGGGTTCTGACATTCCAAGCACTCCACCTATGACTGATCCCAGGTGACCTGCAGGGGACAGAGCACTGACTCACCACAGTCTCCCTGCTCAGACTCTGTGCCTCCCTAATGTGCATGTCCCTCTCTACCCTGCCTCTGCCCCTGAGCGATGTGTGTGTGTGTGATGAACACTGCCAAACCAGGTGCATATTTCTCTGTAAATAGTTAACGTTGTACAAAAGAAACTTAAGGTAATCCGAATACTGAAGACCGGCTGGTGTTTTTCCATGGGCTGCCGTGTCTGGGCTCCCACATTCCCATCTGGTAGCTCTCCCTCCCGCCCCAGATCTTCCTGTTGTCCTCGGGCTGTAGACATGTGCCGGAACCTTCGGTATGTCTGAGTATTCTGTTTTGTCTCCTGCTTTAAAAAAAATGATTTAATCGGCTCATGAAGATGGTTTAATGAGTAAAGGCATCTGCCACATGCCAGATCTGAGTTGGCTCCCTGGATCCCCAGAGTGGAGGTAGAGAACCAACTTTTGTCCTCTGTCCTCTATACATCATGCTGTGGCGCACACATGTGCACACACACAGTAAGTAAAAATGTAACACAGTATTTAAAGGGCAAGGTTGGAAGGCTGAGGAAAGAAAAAAAAAAAAAAAAAAAAAAAAAAACAAGCCGAAGCTAATACTGTTTATAAGATTGAAATATTTTGAAGTATTTTCCCTGACCATAGCGGAAATCAAAATCAAGAGGATATCTCAAAACACCACAAGTATTTGGAAAGTAAATAGCCCAGAGGTCAAAAAGGAAGTTTTTTAAAAAAATAGAAATTATATAAAACTAAATGAGAAAGAAAATAGCAAGGGGGACCTGGGGGTGAGAGGGCACCAGGCCAGACCTGGTGCGCAGAGCCTGATTCCTGGGACCCACAGGATGAAGACAGAGAACTGGCCCCATGAAATCATCTCTCACCTCAGCCATTTGCACACAATTCATAGTAAATAAATAAATCAAAACCAAAACCAAAACCAGTCATTGAAATACATATCTATAATCCCCATACTTGGAAGGTTGAGGCCGGAGGATTAGAAGGTCAAGGCCAGCCTCAGCTGAGTATGGCCCAGCAAAGACTTTAAATCCAAACATCCCTTAGCTTACAGACTGAAGGTGGGACACGCCTCCTTCACCGCTTGTTCTCTGGGGCACAGTGCTCCAGGGGGCGAACCTCAGGGAGTGTCTGCAGGGTTCTGTGTGTTTGAGCAGTGACGCCTCCCAATAGATAGGAAGCTTGCAGAATATTCTAGAGCAAAACAGGAAGGCCAATATGTATCTCTCTGTTCGTTTATTTCGTGCAAACATATGGATGGAAGTGTTTCTGAAAAGTCTTTCTTGAGGGGGTCGGAAAACATGTTTACCTCTCCCCGAGGTCCCAGTGACAAACCGAGGCACGCTTTGCCAGAGTTCACCTGGGGAGCCAGCAACTTTATTAGGCTTCCTTACCGAGCGGGGGGGGGGGGGGGGGGGGGGGGGGGGGGGGGGGTGGCCGTGCTGGAAGGTGCACACCCAGGACTGCTGGGGATGAACCCCACTCCTTCCCAGCCATATGCCCCTCCCTGAGGCCGCCTGCCTCTAGGGCAGAATTGCCTACCACTGGCTGGTTACTCGGGAGGATCCCGCTAGCTTTCTTCTGCAAGGGAAGGCCAACATTCAGCAAACCCAGATGTGGCAGTGTCTTGTCTTCCCAGCCAATCCTGGCTATGGAAGTAGTTTGGCTTGTTAGATGCTCCAAAAGAAGGCACGGAAGGTGGGAGGGCAGCTGGTAAGGGACAGCCCTGCCTGGTGAAGTCCTGGCAGCAGGAGCCTTCACCAGGCCCTGGCCCTCAGGCTGTCATCACCTACATGGTGTTCTCTTTAGGGACACTTCAGACCCTACTGGACCACTTGCCCATTGCTGTCTTGTGACCCCACCACCAACCACCATGTCAGCCAAGTGCTCTGCTGCCGAGCCACACCCCAGACCCTCACTGGCAGAGCTGAGGTCAGGATGCAGCCACTGAACGACACCCTTGACTTGCGTCTTTGCGACAGGGTGGCACTCCAGACCGCAGGCTAGCCTTCAGCCCCCAAGCCTCATAGCCTCTGACTGGACGCTACATCTGGCCACAGCTGTCTTTGGATTCTGGCTCCAGTTTGTTGTCCGAGGAGTGAACCAGTGTGGTTCGCAATCACACTCAGAGAAGAAAGCTAAGAGGTTAACATCTTCCCTCTTCCATTTCTTTACCAGCAATGGTCGGGCCCATCGGAGCCAAAGCCTACGTGTCATATCCAGCTTCATCAGGTCACTTCTCTTGGCGTAATTTTCTTTCTTTTCTTTCTGTCTGTCTTCTTTTTTTTCTTTCCTTCTTTCTTTTCTTTTTGGTTTTTCAAGACAGGGTTTCTCTGTGTAGCCCTGGATATCCTGGAACTCTATAGACCAGGCTGGCCTCGATCTCAGAGAGATCCGCCGCCTGCCTCTGTCTCCTGAGCGCCGGGATTAAAGGCATGGGCCACCACCTCCCAGCTGCTTTTAACAGTTTTTAAGTTCGATTTATTAATTTTCTCTTATGTGTTTGGCCAGCAAGTATGTATGTAGACCACATGCAGGCCTGGCATCCGAGGAGGTTAGAAGATGGTGTCAGAGCCCCTGGAACTGGAGTTACAGGCATGTGAGCTGCCTAAGGCTGGTGCTGGGGACCAAACTCTGATCCTCTGAAAGAGTGGCTAAAACTCTGAGCCATCTCCCAGCCCCGCCCCTTTTCTGTTTTGAGCCAGGGTCTAGCTTTGTAGCCCAGGCTAGCTTGAAACTCATTATGCAGACCAGGTTGGTCCCCAACTCATGATCCTCCCGCTGAAGCATGCCAGTTGGGTGATTCCTCTTTATTTCTCTTTATTGGTAACGGCCCTCCTTGGCTCCATTTTGTTTACCCGTGTGTCACTTACTGGACATTTAGGTGGTCTCACCTTTGAGCGCAGTGTGCCGGGCACCATACAGAGCTGAGCTTAGAAGACAGTGGCTGCAGGGCAGGGCCAGATAGAGCTCTGCCTCAAAATAAGTAAATAAAAGTGACCATGTCCATAACCCCAGTTCTTGGGAGCCTGAGGCAGAATTGAGAGTCAGGTTAGCTTTAGTTTCATAGCAAGATCTTATCTTTGGCTGGATGTGGGGGTGGGCGTGGCAGGAGGCAGAGGCAGAGGCAGAGGCAGAGGCAGAGGCAGGAGGAGCTCTGTGAGTTCGAGGCCAGCCTAGTTTGCAGAGTTCCGGGACAGCCAGAGCCACAGAGAGAGACCCTGTCTCAAAAAAAAAAAAAAAAAAAAAAAAAAAAAAAAAAAAATCATTATCCTCTAGGGCTGGCCAAGGTCTTGGCTCAGGAAACAGTTCTGACTTCCTTAGCACAAAATCCTACAACAGGTGCCCTGGCACGCACCAGTAATTTGAGCCCTAGAGGAGGCCACCCTCGTCCATACTGTGAGTTCAAATCCAGCCTAGGCTACGTGAGAACCCCATCTGAAAAAACAAAACGTTTGGTCTTGGAGACAGGGGATCTGACTGTAAATATATGTGCTATAGAAGCCAGGTATGGTGGTGCACACCTTTAACCCCAGCACTCAAGAGGCAGAGGCCGGTAGATCTGGGAGTTCAAGGCCAGTGTGATCTTCACAGTAATACCTTATCCAAAAAGGGTGGTGGGGATGTCTACATTACACTTGTTATTACATTTTATTTGGTGTATATGTGTGTGAGAGTGTGTGAAGGTCAGGACATGTGGGGCCTGGGATCAGACTGAGTCTGTTAAGCTTGGTGCCAGGCACCTTTCTTGACTGAGCCATCTCACTGATCCCATACAACCCTTTTCTGGAGGGTGGGGTCTTGAGCTGGAGTCCAGTCTGGCCTTACACTTCTGCCTCAGCACAAGACTGTTAGGGTCACAGCCCCGCTGCCGCCAGGCCTGAAGAGAAAGCCGCTTTTGAATGATGGGAGAGCAGGTGGGAAAATGACAAAGCATGACCAGGCTGGGATGAAATACATGTGTAATTGTTTTAAGCGCCCACGGGTGAAACAGCTTTTCCAGTCAGTTCCCTTCTCCTGTACGTCAGTGACACTGAGGTGGCACTTACAGAAGGTCAAGGAAGGAGGGGGGGGGTCCATCCTTTGGGCCTCTTTACCCTAAGCCTGGGCAAAGAGAAGTTAAACAATTTCCCAGGAGAGACAGGAAGCAGAGCCCAGAGACTGCCGGCTTCCCCTCTGCCAGCACACAGCCCGGAGGCTCAGCGTCTAAGCCCCCTTGTTGCCGCCAATGTCCAGACTTGCGTGAGGTTCCAACCCCGGCCCTGTGCTGACCCCTGGCTGCCTCCTCTTTCTGACTTCTTAGGGAAAAAATAAAATAAAATACAGCCCAGGCCAGGAAGCATCCATCAAGAGCTGTCCAGCTGGGGCCGGAGGGGCAGAGGTCAGCAGGGAGGTGACCTCAAGGACTCTGTGGGGACCAGGATCCGGCTGGGCTCTAGCTGGAGAGGCTGGAAAATTTCCCACCAAGACAATCCCTGCATCAACCCAGGCGGGCGCCCTGGATGCCGCCAGCCTGACCCCATCCCCCAACTCCTTCCTCTCTGGACGAGGTTTCCCCGGCTAAGGATGGGGAGGGCCGTGCCAAGGTGCCCACAGCAGAGCCAGAACAACGACGGACACCGGGATAGATAAAATATCGGCGTCGGGCTCAGAGTGGTCAAAGGCTGGCCCCAGAGCCACCAGACCAAGGCCTCGGTATCAGCACAGTGTCCCGGCCTTCTGTGGCTTCTGACTGTGTCCACGGTCTTCCAGAAGAGTTGGTCCCCAGCCCCGGTGGCCTTGGGTGTGTGTGCAAAGAGTGCTTGGCCCTGGGCCCTGTCTTCCCTCTCCTACACTTGGGACTCAGCCCTTCCTAGTGTTAAATAGAAACCTCTTTATTCTAAGTATCTACCATTCCTTAAAATGTTGGCCTGAGGCCAGACCTTGAGGTGAGGGGAAAGGAGGTGGGGCTGGGCTATTTCTGTTGAGCTTTCCAGAAGGCTCTCCACCAGGCTGGGCTGTGGGGGAGGAGGGGTCACCGGGAAGGACTCCCGCAGCCCTGGGAACTCTTCAGTCGTTCTGGCCTCTGTTTCCCTTCTGGAGGAGATGCTCCGGGCTGGGTGGGATGCCTAAGGGTCCTCCCATCCCAGAGGTCTGCGGCTCAGGCAGGGAGTCACGTGGCAGGGAGGAGGACGTATCAGCAGCAGCAGCGTGGACACCCGGAGCTTCAGCGCTGGGCTCGGGCTCTAACTGGCGACGGAGGACGAGGCCGCAGGGGCAGACAAGCCAGACTGGGCCTACCCAGCCAGGACCCGGGGAGGCGTCCCCCAAACAGGGGGAGCCGGAGGCAGAAAGATGAGCGGGGCACAGGGATATCAGCAAAAAACGCCCGGTCTCGAGAGGGTGATAGGGCAGTACAGTCAGAGAGTTCCAGGTCCCGGGCCACCGCCAGGATCTCCTGACGGGCAGCTGTGTTCCGAAGACCTCTGATGTCAAGGAGGGCTGCCACGTGCTTCCGCCTGGTGGGAGAGGAACACATGTGCTTGAGGATCCTGGGACCACACAGGGCTACCCAGCCCACCAGTCCACCCCACTTGAACTCTGGAAATCTTTATCTCATTTCCTTGTGTCATCTTGTCCCAGGCTCCTGAAAACATTTCCAAATTTTCCATGTAGAATCTTCCAGAACTCTCACCTTCAAGCCCAGTAAGAAAATCTTTTTGTTCAATGTCTCTAATCCTCACTAATTTAACTTTCAGCCTTCGCCCTAACTTAACTCAGCGGTTTCCTTTTTAATAGAATTTTTACATTAATGGAGACTAAAGCAAGGATCTCACATCTAGGTGGTTCTAGGCAGGGGCTCTACCACTGAGCCACACCCCCAACCCCTCACTGGGGGATTCTAGGCAGGAGCTGTACCACTGAGACAACCCCCCCCCCAGCCCCTCACTGGGGGATTCTAGGCAGGAGCTCTACCACTGAGCCACACCCCAGCCCCTCACTGGGGGATTCTAGGCAGGGGCTCTACCACTGAGCCATACCCCAGCCCCTCACTGGGGAACTCTAGGCAGGGGCTCTAGCACTGAGCCACGCCCCAGCCCCTCACTGGGGGATTCTTGGCAGGGGCTCTACCACTGAGCCACACCCAGCCCCTCACTGGGGGATTCTAGGCAGGAGCTGTACCACTGAGCCACACCCCAGCCCCTCACTGGGGGGTTCTAGGCAGGGGCGTTACCTCAGAACTGTATCGCTAGCCCACCTCCTTTTTTTTTTTTTTTTTAGATTTTCAGATAGCGTCTCACTGAATTGTCCAGGCTTGGCTTGAGCTTCTGATTTTCTTGTGACAGTCTCCTGAGTAGTTAGTTTTACACATATGAGCTGCTACTTCCTAAGTGGACACTGCAGCAAACCCTTAGTTTCCTCATCACTTTCCTCCCAGTGGCCTGATGTCCTCACTTGGCCTAAAAGTGTCACCCATCCTAACCCTCTCTTTCTTCAGGTGAGGAGGCTTGGAAGCTTCCCCGCCACTGTCACCCAAACCTCAACTCACGGTCTCTTCATTTGGATCATTCTGGAGCTTTCGTCCCCTCAAACACTCACCTTGCTCCCCAAATGGGGCATCTCTGAAAATTCCGTGATGGGGTTACCCTTCATGGTCGGATCATCTTTGTGCTGACAAGCGCTTGCCCTAAATCCAAGCTCCTAGAACCCTCCCTTGCAGTATCATTTCAACCCCACATCCCTGACATAAAACAAACCTCCCAAACTGGTGTGATAGATCACACCTGTGATCCCAGCCCTTAGGCAGGAGGATTGCCACACATTGAAAGCCAATCCCGGCTGCCTCAAAACAAACACACCAAACCCAGCCCAGGGCTGGCAAGATGTCTCAAGGTGCTTGCCACCAAGCTGGAAGACCTGAGTTCAATCCCTGGGGCCTACATAGCGGGAGAAGGGAATTGACCCCTGGAAAGGTGCCCTTGACTTCCACATGTGCACTGTGGCACGCATGCCCCTCCCCCCCACAAAAGCTGAGCCTAGTGGTGCACGCCTTTGATCCCAGCACTCTGGAGACAGAAGCAAGTGGATCTCTGAATTTGAGGCCAGCCTGGTCTACAGAGCGAGTTCCAGGACAGGCAAGGCTGCACAGAGAAACCCTGATACAAAAAAAAAAAAAAGTAAAGTAAAAAAGAAAAGAAATACTTAAATGCTTAAATGGCTTAAATTATAGAATCTATTCCGAGGAGGTTTTTGCAGATAATCCAGGGTTGGGTAACAGGATTTAAAACCTGCCAGCTGGCAACAGCTAAGGATGTGGCCTAGTGGTAGATCCTGCCTAGAATCCCCCATGTGAGGGGCTGGGTGTGGCTCAGTGGTAGAGCCCCTGCCAAGAATCCCCCAGTGAGGGGCTGGGGCGTGGCCTAGTGGTAGATCCTGCCTAGAATCCCCAGTGAGGGGCTGGGGTGTGGCTCAGTGGTAGAGCACCTGCCTAGAAAACCCAGTGAGGGGCTGGGGTGTGGCTCAGTGGTAGAGCCCCTGCCTAGAATCCCCCAGTGAGGGGCTGGGGTGTGGCTCAGTGGTAGAGCCCCTGCCTAGAATCCCCCAGTGAGGGGCTGGGGTGTGGCTCAGTGGTAGAGCCCCTGCCTAGAATTCCCCAGTGAGGAGCTGCAGGGCTCGGTGGCAGAGCCCTCGCCTAACATACCCAAGGTGCTTAGTCCCATCCACAGCACGGGCGGGGGGAGTGAGGTGAGTGCTAGGATTACAGGCCTGCCCCGGCTCCACTGCAGTTGCCAGATAATGACGAAGCTGTAATTCCCACAGCCAGCTCCCAATTTAGGGTATTACAGGGCAGCAGACAGGGAGGGTGAGACTCCTGGGAGGTCTCATCAAAAGGAAGTGGCCCACCTAGGTTCGGACGTGGCCGAGGTTGTCCCATGAGTGTGCGCCCTCATGCCGGTGTGTCCCCCCTGTCCCCGGCGGCTCCCTGCAGGGCCGGCCCTTCCTGCCGCCAGCGGCCTGCGCCCCCCTTGCCCCGGGCTTCCTGTGGCCGCTTGTTTGTTTGTGAGCCCCGGTGGCGGTGGCGGCAGAAGGAGGGAAATCTTATTAAGAATGCCCTGGTCCCAGCAGGAAACAGCCGTCAGACACGCTTGCCGCCACCCTGCCTTGGGCAAGTCAGGAAACGCTGGGACGGACGCCAAGGAGACCCGGGCCTGACGGCAGCTCACCTGACGTCTGGGAAGTCCCGCACCAGCACCCCGACCTCCACCTGGATGCTTGGGGTGTCCTCCAGCTGCAGGATCTCCGCCAAATGCGGCACCACCGGGTCCAGCCAGGAAGCCTGGGACTCCTGCGGGGATGAGAGCCTCAGGTCACCCAGAGCACCGGCCACCCCAGCACCCTGCCGAGCCCTGCTCCAGCCTAGTCTTCCCCTTGTGTAAAAGGGCTCAGAAGGCAGTCTGGTGAGAGGTTAGCTGTGGCCTTGGCTTATATGACGGAGAATCCTTTCTATGATCTATTCCAAGTGTTTGAGGCTACTCCAGGGTTGGGTAACAGGATTTTAAACCTGCCAAGCCCCGGGCAGTGCACAACTTTAATCCCAGCACTCCGGAGGCAAAGGCAGGAGGCTCTCTGTGAGCTGGGGGCCAGCCTGGTCTACAGAGTGAGTTCCAGGACAACCAGGGCTACCCAGAGAAACCCTGTCTCAAAACAAACAACAACCAGGAAAAAAAAATCGTATTATGGATGCCTAACCTATTCCATCCAGGTTTGGTAGCATATGCCTGTAGCCCCAGCATGGGCAAGGTGGAGGCAGGGGACTCGGACTTCAGCCATCTGAGTCATCCGGAGTCTGAGGCCAGTCTCAGCTCCAGGAGACCCAACACTAGGGAGGCAGAGGCGGGGTGGGTGGTGGTGGTGTTGGGGCTGCACAGCCAGAGGCTATCTCAAGAAACCAGAGCTAGGGCACAGACACTCGGTAAAGTGAGGCTCTGGTAAATTCCTCCCCAGGGGGTGGAGGGCCAGTGTGGGCAAGGCTCTGGGTTCTGTCCTCCTCACTGCCCACCCCCCCAAGAAAAAAGTGCAAAATGTTGCCATGCAGAAAGCATGGCTAACATGTCCAGAGGGACGCACTGTGCTCCTTCCTAGGGCTGCCTGCAAGCCCACGACAATTATCTTGAAAACGTTTCAACAAATTAAACAAACTCCCAAGGACACAGGCTCCGAATCCAGATAGCGGGGAGGGAGTCCACACTCAGCTTCCTTCCAGCCCTGACCATGCTAACTGTGAAAAGTAAGTTCTGGGACTTCAAGTTCTTGCACTTGGCGATGTTTGGATTCCGAGATGCTTAGTTTTAATATTTGGACACAAGGCCTCACTGCCTAGCCTTGGCTGTCCTGGAACTCACTTTGTAGACCAGGCTAGCCTCTGAATCACGATCTTCCTGCTCCATCCTTGTCAGAGCTTTGACTACATGATCACCGTACCCGGCCTCTTTTCTTCTCTTTAAAAGTATTTCAGCCGGGCGTGGTGGTTGCGCACCTCCACCACAGCACTCAGGGGGCGGAGGGAGGCAGATCTTCGTGAGTCTGTGGCAAATTTGGCCTACACAGCAAACTCGAGGACAGCCGGGAGCGCGTAGAGAGAGCCTCTCAAAACCCAAACGCAAAACCAAACGAGAGGCAAAACTCTTAAATGTGCGGGTGTTCTCTCTGCGGAAGTCAGCGCGCGGTGTTGTGAGCTGCCACGCGGGGGATGGCGAGAGTAGCCAGGGCCCCCAGCCCTGCGTGGTCTCTCCAGTCCCCCCCCCCCCCCCCCCCCCCCCCCCCCCCCCCCCCCCCCCGCC